AAGGGAAGCAAGATACGCTTACCTTGATAAGTGAGATGGCTTGCACATCGCTACCAATTTTTCCAACGAGCTGACGACATATATCTCAAATATAAACATACAATGTTTATGATTAAACAAAGAAAGATTAAACACACTTCTGACAAACTGATGAGGAACAACAAAGATCAAGATGTTTGCATCCTCGCAAGATTCTACGAGATCTGGCACTGCTATCTGTAAACAGATAGTGATCTTAAAGATACTAACAAAAATATTGCAAATAAGATGAATAAACCACGATTTCTCCCATGCATGATAATAATAAGTGTAACAATGAGTACCAATGCACAACTATACTGATACCGTAGTTTAGAAAAAACTTCGTGATACCTCACTCAGATACAGGCTTATTGAAGAACTAACCAAGAATCCGAGGATAAGTAACTAACCACGTTATCTGGCAGTTGTTTTCCTGGCAGATATTTGGTATTTTCATGACGAGTGTTGATTATTTCAGATAATTTTTGACCATCAACCATTTCTTCAAACACCTGAAATGAGCTTTTTCTTTGCTCAAACTTCTTTGGCACTATAACACTTTAATGAACCACATTTTTCAAACGTGAACATGTTGATCACCAAAAGCAAGTGCGTAAAGGTAATGAAGAAATTTACCTACCCACATCCGTACGATCTCTTCGAAGTCATTTGGGTAAAGTTTTGTGTTGTTTCCAACAATACGAGCAATAGCCGAACCCCTAAAAAATTGTACCGTAAAAACATGAGACTTACAGCTTCGAGTATAAAAAGCTACGCCAGGCTTTTTCTGTTGGCAATAGTGCGATTACACAATTTACAGTAATCTCTTTGCGTAGAATTGTCAAGAGTCAAATCACTTTGCATATAAAGTCACAGGGAATGGTGATTTCACAGAAATCACTTGACAATGCCACTAATTTACAAAACTAGCATCTCATTAAGGTAAACATTATCATATTCGATCATCATGTCACTGTTTTTTTACATTTATCAGAAAAAAACCACGGTAGGAATATTTTTGGAGGTTATCAAGATATACATCCTTC